TTCGAGTCTCAGCTCTGCTGCCAGATTCAGCGCGGACAACCAGGGTGATTAAAACAAGCATGACCTTCCAAAAAAGGAATATTAACACTGCCACCGCCATGTAACTGAACAATCTATTTCTTAATTTATAGTTTTGTCTATCCCGGACCGCTCTTCTATTATTCACAAACCAACAAGCTACTACGCACAAAGTGCCTATCAAATCTGAGAACCGTTGTACCAGGTTAGGTCATAGATTTTGCAGAAGGTACACAGAGCACCAATCTGGCAGGACGGACGGAGTGTGTGGGAATCGGCTCAACTTCCCAATCCCCTCTTTGATTAATTATGTATGTGGGTGCACAACAAGAAAAAAATGAACTGAACAAAAAATCATACACCATATGGTTAGCCAGGTTCACCATCAGTATATTTTTACCAACATGATCTTAGGACTCCCACAATGTTGGTTCACTCAAAGACTTGAAACCTCTATTTACAGTGTACCATTACTGACTAACAGGATATCAAAAAGTATATTAAAATAACAATTTTCTAAGTCATGTTCCCCCACAATTCTACAAAGCCCAATAGTCTTAAACAGTCGCAAGTCCCCTTCGATCATTTTAGTTTCAGCTATTTGGACCCTAGCCGACACAGTTGTGCCAACCTCAGTCGACTCGTTTGCTAGACATAAGTCCACCATGGTGGTGTGGAAAGCAAGGAACTTCACCCGAACCAGTGGTACCATCAATGCTGTGTATATCTATCACGGTATGTATACTACCCAATTTTCTTTTAAGGGACTCCAAGAAACACACATTTTTACTAGAAACGTTACCATCCCTTTCAACCTGTCCTCAAGTAATTTAACACTAGCAGTGATGCGCGCTGGATTAAAACAAACTCAACTGTTCTAATATAATTATCTAACTACTCAACTTTATATCCAACTAAACTAACTCCCATTCCTTTGTTGTATAAATCAACAACCCCAGGAACTCTTATCAAGACCAAAACCACTTGAAGAAAAAATGGACTCTCCGTGTGGAAAGTATAGTGCGTAGAGTCTACTTTATCACTCTCTACCTTTCACATTCTTATCCAATTTAGTGAGGATACTCAAGCGAATTATAACAAGTGTCAAGGAAGGAATATGACCTTTTATATTCATAGATCCACACTCCACTGTATCCGAGAGCATATGTAGATATATCAGTTACTTACCCGCGATTGCTGTCTCCAGCCACAGTAATGATAGGACGCGTGCGCAGACCACCTGCATACATAAGTAAAGGACGCCTCGAAGCTGTACTGATCTTCGGACACCGATCACCTCACGCGGGAATATTCCATAGACAGCTCCTGTTCCGCTATATTATTAACTAATTAAATTAAATAATGAGCTGGTCAGTCTCTAGCACCTAGCTGATCACGAGACTAAACAGGAAGTGCTCAAAGTCGGAACATACTAGAAACACAGTTCCCAGCCCTATTGGGCATTACAAGCTGGTGTCAGGTACACCCCGCGGCCACAGCCAACTGTCAATTTCTCACATTATCATCGATCTTTGATCCGAGGAGCAGGTGGTGCTGTACGAGTGTAAAAATAAGCATATGTGAGGCCAACCTTTAGGACATGCCACATAAACCGCGCAGTGCGACCGCTCCACAAGATTTGAGTGTTGATCACCTCCCTCCAGTATAAATCCAGCAAAATAAGATTCCTCGCAAGTCGATCAGTACATTCATCTTTCCGAAAGACATGCAAACTCTGAATTTTCTGTGGCTACACCTTAATGTGCACCACGAGTTTGTGGAGATGGATATAATTCAAGGCCACTATACCTAACTTCAACCCCAATCCCTATCCAAACCCAAAGAATTCAAATAACAACTATCCCAAATCTGTGGTACAAGGACTAGACTCTCCACCAGAAGAAACTAGACTACACTTGATCTTAAATTTTAGAGAATTCACCTTTATACATGTCATGCAGAACACAGCGCATATATATCTAAGACTCATAAATAATCTACACCAATTGAGAAAAATCAAATACACAGTAGAAAAATACAATAACCAAGATATCTATATTATATGATTAAGATAAATATGATGTTTATTCACAATAGCAGTCTGAATCAAACCCCCACTCACATACCCGTTCGCATAGTTCCTGCGTTCCCCCTTCACTCCATGAATCTCATATATGCTCTTCTCTTTCACACATCACAATCTGTTTACCCACCCACACGTTTCCAGCACTATCTCGCAGTGTCTATGTCATCTACAACACAACACCCAAATAAGAGATTCAAGTGAAATTACTCACTCTTTGGCTGATGCAACAATGGCGCCCGCGAATCTTCCTTCTGGCTAGTGTTCTAAGTCTTCAGAAAGCAGAAAAAATGGATACAAAGCCATCCACGTGGTCATGCGTTTCACCCTCAAAGTCGAGGCCAAGCATGCGCCAGCCGGCCCCCTTCTCACATGCAGCCGATACTCCTGCCACTGGAGGCGATGGAAAGAAATGAGGGTGAAACACAACGCTCCCATACCGTTTTAACGAGTTTGTAAAAGTCAACAGTTCTAAAGCGCAATGAAAAAGATAAATAGACGCTGCGATAATTTAATCCTGAGAGCAAGTTCGACAGCACGCCATAGACAGCTGGACAGCAACATACCTGTGAAAGAAAGCAATGGCCACCTGCATCGTCGAGTCCAGAAACACGAGCGCCCGCACACACACATGCCGTGCCCCCGCGCCGCGCTCTCCCCCAGGCGTACGCCGGAGAAAGGGTTCACCCCATCGCGAAGATCAACAACCACATTAAAGAAGCTCCAGTCTACTCCCAAAGCAGTCTGCCGCCCCTCCCACTTGGCTTCTCCACTGGAAAGCTGATACCCCACTGAATGATTCTTCCCGAGCCACATCGACCGCCCCAGCGTGGCCACATAGGAGCGAGAGCGAAAAACGAGGAACAGCAGACACCAATGGGGGGGGGGGGCGCGGGGGGGGGGAGGGAATGTGGAAAATGTGGTGTGAACAAGTAAATTATAAGAGCCATGCATTTTTATTTAACCAGCCACCCTCGGCAGAGCTTTGATGATTGCAATTCTTCATGGCTTTACTATCATGAAT